GGTGGAACAACTTCTGGGAGACCAGAGTCCAAAGTTGAGGTGCCAGCAAGGCAGTGCTCCCTCCAAAGGCTCATGGGGAAGGTTCTTTCTCACCAATGCCAGCCTTGGGGGCTCCGGGCAGTTCCTGGGGTTCCTTGACTTAGCTCCTCCCTCGCACTTACTTCCACCTCTACTGTCTCTCGGCCATCTTGCCTCTCTGCCTCTTCTCATAAGGACACCGATCCTAGCGAGTTAAGGCCCCGCCCACTCCAGCACGAGCTCCTCTTAACTGGATTGTACTTCTGCAAAGATCCCATTTCAGAGAAGGTCCCATCACAGGCATGGCGGTAAGATTTCAACATAGCAACTCACTGCAAGCCTAGACAGTACAGATTGTGTCTCTGTGCAGACATACGTAGAGAGGTTTCCGGGCATCAAATGTTTGGGGGCATTCCAGAGAAAACTGCCAAAGAGTGCCCAAGTCCTGTTTTTTTCAGTAGATGGGACTCGGGGATTATGGTCATTGCGCAAGTTGTGGTGTTCATGACTACAGATGGCTAGGGGCCCAAAGGTCCGTCCATAACAGCATGACGAAAAGGAGAAGAGTGCGTCTCACAGTGCGGCGAGACCATAGCACAAGCATCAGCTGGGAGGCTGTTAGAAGTAGATGACCAGGCCCTACCCAGACCAAATGAACCAGCCACCGTTGGGGTGGGATCAGCGACGCGGTTTAACAAGCTTCCCGGGTGGCCCGAGGCACACAGAAACCAGAGAAACCGCCACGGAGCCATCGAAACGAGGGCCCGATGGGCCTGTGTCACACGGGGAGACGCATGTTCGCAGGATTGATTCCACTGTACAAAGTCCAACATGGGGGAACATGTCATTACTTATGATTGCAATCATAGCTCATAAAACAATAAGGAAATTGGATTTAAAAATACTCAATAAAGAATTTTTTTCTTAAATTGGTGAGTAGCACCAGCGCTGCTGAGCGTGCAGATGTGCCTCCAGCCTTGCAATTTCTCCAGCGGCGGCCGTTCTCGTGACAGCGCCAGGACCAGTCCGGTTTATCTCTCATCTCGCTCGGCTGCGGGAAATCAGGCTGAAGCGACTGAGTCCGCGATGGACAGAGAAAAGGAACAATTCCAATTCCGTAAACTCTTTATTGGTGGCGTGAGCTTTGAAACCACAGAAGAAAGTTTGAGGAACTACTATGAGCAATGGGGGAGGGGGGGGGGAGGGACTTACCGACTGTGTGATAAGGAGAGATCCTGCAAGGGGATAATCAAGAGGACTTGGTTTTGTAACTTCACACCCATGGCTGAGGTTGATGCCGCCATGGCTGCAAGGCCTCAATTGATGGGAGAGTTGGTGGGCCCAAAGGTGCTGTTGCGAGAGGAATCTGGAAAGCCAGGGGCTCTGTACCTGTGAAGCTGTTCGTTGGTGGGGTGAAAGGGGACACTGAGGAACATGTCTTGGAGACGACTTTGAGGGAAAATTGTTGCCATGGAGATAATCACTGAGAGGCAGTCTGGGAAGAGGCTTTGGATGTTCCTTTTGATGAGCATGACCCTGTGGCTAAGACTGTGGCAGAAATACCAACCACCCGTGGTCATCCTGCAGAAGGCAGGCTTGTCTAGACAAGAAATGCAGGGAGCTCCAAGTTCTAGAAGCGGGAGAGGAAGCAACTTTGGTTTGAGATTTTCAAGGAGGCGGTGAAATTTTGGACCAGGACCAGGAAGTAACTCTAGAGGACCTGATGGCTACGGAAGTGGCCGTGCATTGAGGGACAGCTAAAATGGGTATGGAGGGCCCGGAGGAGGACCTGGTTATGGAAGGGGAAGAGGAGGATCTGGTGGTGGACCCGGATATGGCAACCTGGGGGCGGGGGGCGGCTACAGAGGTGGCGATGACAGCTCTGGAGGAGGAAATGACGGAAGTGGAAATTGCAACCATCTAACTATGGTCCCATGAAGAGTGGAAATTTTGGTGGCAGCAGGAACATGGGGGACCATATGGTGGAGGGAACTATGGTCCTGGAGGAAGTGGGGCTGTGGAGGGAGAACCCGCTTTCTTCATATTTGTCCTGAGCGTCCTGTAGAAATAGGAGGCTGAGCCCTGAGCTGACAGAACAGTGCCAGGTCATGCAGTAGCCATGCTAAGGAGACTCTCAGGGATGCGTAGGCACGCAGGGCTGTGGCAGAGACACCGGGGCAGTGCGGAGCCATTCTCTGAATGGGTTGGATTATTTAACATTACCTCACTGTGGAGGGAGGATTGTAAAAAAAAATGCCTGAGACAGTTTCTTAGCTTTTTACTTGTTTATTTCTAATGGGCTTTCTGATGGTGTTAAATTTATAAGTTGCAGGTGACATGTGAAACCTTTAAGATTTTCTCAAAGTTTTGAAAAGCTATTAGCCAGGATCTTGGTATAAGATATAACATTTTTCCTTTCAAAAAAAAAGGTAAGTGTGTGTGTAGATTTAAGAAGCTGTTGTACATTTATGATTTAATATATTAATACTATGGGGGGGGGATTGATAACCTGGTCACAAGAGGGATTACCTCTAGGGGAGAGGAGAGGCGGGGCTGGATTAAGGAGACACAGCAGAATTTCTGAGGATGTTGGCATGGTTTTACTTCCTGATCTGGTGTAGGGTTACACGCGAATTTCCTTCGAGGTTATGCATTGTTATAGTTGTATATATCAACACACTTCCTATATATCATATCATATATTTCCTATATAAATATTATTACGCGTGTAATATCCCTGAGTATCCACACACCTGTCTTGCTGGAATGTCACGTATCAGAGAGTTGCCTGCCCACCCTACATAAAACAGCCCGCCTCCCATGCTCCCTTCTGGTTTTTCCCACAGAACTCACTGCTGACATATACATCATCTTTCTTCCTGCCTTCCAGGGCCCGGCACTGTTCTCTGCTTACAAACACCAGGTCCACGTGCACCAGCGCGGTGTCTGCTCCCTGATGGAGCCGCGCCTCGGGGGCACTCCGTTTACGTGCTGACCGAAGACCAGCGCTGGGGACACCACACTGCAACTGTGGGTTTACAGACGGTCTCACTAGCTCGTCTCTCCCGGCAATTCCTGGTGTTCAGGGGACTGTGGACCAGCACGTGGTCCCAGTGAGTGAGTGACTGAACCTCCTGACGGGGGCCAACCCAGATTTTCATGAGGCCCCTTCCTGCTCTGCCCCCGCCCCTCCTGCTGCAGTGCCTGCAGCTCACACCTCCCTCGGGGCTACACCGGCCTTTCCACACATTTCTCAATCAGGAGCAACTGGCCTCCATTTGACAATGATGGACAATCAGTAAGAAATTTTCATTTTGAAATAAATTTATTTATCTCACCTTTTCTGGCCAACTCAATAGCTTTGGTCATTTGTACAAAGATTCTAAAAATTGGTTTTCCAGGCAAATGAACTTCATCATAACAAGCTTGAGCTCTGACCTCAGTCCCTGTGAAGTCTGTGCCGATGGCCTAGGGAGGACATGTCTGAGCCTGGGAGATGCCTCCTGCTCTCAGCCTGAGGCCCACTGTGGCCACAGGCTCCTCGCCTTCCTCCCCAGCTCCCCCAGAGGTCATGTGCATTTGTGGCCGAGAAGCCGGTGAAATGCACGACTGTATTATATAAAAAAGCCATCAAATATATGTAGTGACGAGAACTCATCCCCTACCCTAGGTTACTCACCAGACAGGTTACATGATGTACACCAATTAACGTGCCACAGAAAAAATTACATTTCTGGAAAAAAAGAAGAAGAAAAAACAGGACACAGGCCTCCTGCTTTGATCCAACAGACTGCGTAGTCCCCAAATTCACACCCCACCACTCTCCATGCCCCGCCGTCCTCTGGGCCGGCTAAATCTCATCCAGGGAGGAGGCGCCAACACCCTCCATCAGGATTTGGGTTCTGGCTTCAGCAGCTGCAGCCAAGGTGTCTTCTCTCTTGCAGAACGCTGACCTCCAGGTCCCCAAATTCCAGGAAGCATAAAAAATAGCAGAGCACAAGCGTATACTTGCAAACTTTAAAATACAACAGTCACGGTAACGAATATGACCACACAGCAGCTTACAAGCTGGGCCCTATTTCTCATGGAAGAGCAGTTAATAAAAAGTTAAAATGATACCTACGCTGTTTTTTCCAAGCCGAATGCACCAAGTAATCCTACTGCACGTATGACAAGGTAACACTGAAAACATCTCCCAGAATGGTCTGGAGGTGTCTTTACCATGATGAGAACGCAGACGGAAAACCAGGAGAAAGGAAAAAGAAAGACTCGTGGTTTCCGCCTCTCCACGCAGTCAGTCCTCCTTACCGGCCGAGCCCATCAGCAGATAACCTAGAGGACAAGCGAGGAAATTTACTGTCACGACCTAAACACCCGGCCCCTTGCAGAATGCTCGCCCCCCCACCCCCACTCCCACCCCCAAGGTCACGGGAAGCACTCCAACTGCATCAGAGCAGTTACAAGTTCCCGGCTGGCTTCAGAGTCCCACCTCCAGGGCGTCTCCCTTTTTTTCTTGCCCTGTGACCTAGGTTTGCGCCCTAGCGACTGGGCTACTCCACATTCTGCAAATATTTCCTGCGAGTGTATGGATGCTTCACAACTACAGACCCACCTGTTTCCTTCTAATTAGCAACGTCAAAAAAGGGAAATCTCGCCCTAACCGGTTTGGCTCAGTCACGCAGTGGTTCTCAACCTTCTGGCCCTTTAAAAACAGTCCCTCATGCTGTGACCCAACCATAACATTATTTTCGTTGCTACTTCATAACTGTAATGTTGCTACTGTGATGAATCGTAATGTAAATATCTGATATGCAGGATGGTCTTAGGCGACCCCTGTGAAAGGGTCGTTCGACCGCCCACAGGTTGAGAACCGCTGGCAGTGGATAGAACTTGGCCTGCAGACTGAAGGGTCCAGGTTGGATTCCCCTCAAGGGCATGTACCTCGGTTGCTGGCACATCCCCAGTAGGGGGTGTGCAGGAGGCAGCTGATCGATGTTTCTCTATCATCCATGTTTCTGACTATGTCTCTCCCTTCCTCTCTGTAAGAAATCAATAAAATATATTTTTAAAAAAGGAAAAAAAAAAAGAAAAAGAAACAAACCCCGGAAGGGTTCACAAAAGACCAACAGCAGGGAAGCAGACCCCCGTTAGGAAAACAACCAGTGTGCCTATTGTAAAAAAACAACAACAAAAACAAAAAAACACAAAAAACCCTAAGGAAGATAGTTTCTTCCAAAAGAAACCAATCTGAAATGAAATGTTATGTTTTGGTCATTTTGTCTAT